AACTAATTGCATCTACTTCCCATATACTCTCCATCAACTTCATCCATGACCACTTTACCTAAAAACTCCTATTGATTTTACTTATGCATGCTTATTTGGTAGTGGAGATGTAAGATGTTTACAAGCATATGTAAGAATTCTATGCAAGTGTGGTGAGTGAAATTGACCCTATACATTTGTAAGATGAGTGAAACAGTTACCTTGTGGTTATTTCACAAGATGTTTAAATAACCGTGGTCTTAATTTTTAATCAATTCCATGAGAAATTCAACCTAGGCTTCTCCCTATACACATTAAGGTGTTTCTTAGTTTAATTTAGGTGCTTAAGCGACTAGTGCATATTAGTTACGCATTGAAAAATATGTAAAGTGGTGATGTGGAACCTATAGTTGGTTTGAAAAGCATGATCATAGAGGTGAGAGTTCATCCATGTGGAGTGTAGTGATAAGACCATATGACATATTCTCCTTAGTGCCCGACGGAATGCAATATTGGAGAATTGTATCTCCTTAGTGCTTTTCGAGGTGTAGTGTTAGACATTTGGACTCCTTAGTGTCTGTGTGATACAGTGTTGGAGTCAATGACACCCTATTATGTGTATTAGGGGAAACCATAGTTCGAAAGTGAGATAGAACACTTTTAGCCGGGTGATTCTATCACTAAAGGTGAGCTCAAGGCTAATAAGATTGTATATTCATCTAAGGCGAGCCTATGCTTTTGAGTCGGAGTGATTTGGAGATTTGGTTGGTAGTGATCATGCTTGTGTTATTAAAGTACTGAAAAGTGTTGTGATTAAGTGAAATTTATTATAGATGTTATGTTTAACGGTATATATGCTATGCTTTCATCTGGTTGCATGTAATAGTTAATAGTAGTGAATTATTTTTTTGTTATTGAGATTTTTATCTCACCCTCGTGGTTACATTTTTACAGGACAGAGCAGTGATCAGGGCAAGGAAAAAGAGTCAGGACCAGTTTAGAATTGAGAAAGCTGTGTGAACTCAGAGTATTGTGTAATGACCTAAAAGCTTGAATATATATATAAATAAGTTGCCATAAAAGATTGCATGCATGTTTGGGTTGTGTTTGGTTGAAATTGTAGAGATGTGTAGTAATAATGGTGAATCTTAGCTTATGTGTGAAATTATGATGAAATGAGTAATTTGGTGCTAAGATTGAGTTATGATTATATTATGAATATGGATATATGTACATTTGTGGTGAAAAGGGCCAAGTGGGCTGAGTGTATTAAGTTGTGTTAAATTGTAATTTACGGAAAATGAGCTGTTGAATGGTCAAATTTTGAAATATGTGTATATATGTTATATGTTGTGGTCAATTAGGTGTATGAAGTCCTTTTGGACTTGATTCAAGGCCTCGTATGGTCTAATGAGATAATGGGATCGATTTGAGTACATGAGTGTGTTAAAATTTGATAAAAAGTGACTTTTTGTATCCGGGTGTCTAAATTTTGATCAAACCATTATATCAGGTCCAAACCTATCTCATTAGCTAAATTATGAAATAAGTTTTGTATGGGCGCTTAGATCACTTTGATTGGATGTTGTATGTGAAAACAGCATATGCTGGAAGTTTATCATTTTTCTTATCAAATGGCAACAGAAAATTCATATTAGCACGCCGCACTGTATAGTGTCTCATGTCACAAAGTATGACACAGAAAGTCAGGCATATGGCTCTATGCCACATGTCGTGGCGCATGTATTGCATGCCATGGCACCTGGCCTATATTCCAATCTGATTTTGTAGTTTTAAAGCATCTAATGGTTTGTATGAATGCATGTGACTTGCTTCCGCCGTGTAATTATATGATTGTTAGATCATGAGTTTTGATGATTACAAAACCAAGAGAAGAGGTATTTGTTATGTGTGCAGATATAAAGAATCATGGATGAAAACAAAACCTTAAGAGTATGAAGAATCAAGAGAAGATGGAAAAGTTTAGGATAAGTAATTTAAATTCTCTTAAATTCAATGTGAAAACTTAGATAGCTTAATCACTTTTCTTAATCATTAAATGAATGCATCATATGTCTCTTTTATATACATTAAAACTCATCTAAGTATGTTAAAACTTGCAAACTTTGGCCCTCTTGCATATGGTTTTCCATAGAAAAAGTTTGCACAGTGAAGAAGCAGAATAATGCATGATTCTATAAATCACTCATGAGTTTTTGCATGTTAGGCACACTGACTACTAGATCACGTGAGTGTGAAGAAGTTCTTCATGCATGATTAAGCACTTGTACTGTATATTGCCTTATGCTTTGTCTCTACATGCAAAACCACACATGAAAGGCTTCAGTGTTCACACAAGTTTTAGCACCTATGCTTCATTGTATCGTGACTAAGTGCAAAACCATGCGTGAGATTGATGGTAGCAACACGTGATTTGTCACTTGTTGAACAATCACACATTGTTTTGTTGAGTCTTAAAACCTATCAAGTCAAGCTAAAATTGTTCACATGTATGATCATTAATCTATAAATTCATATCTCTTGATCATGCAAAATCTTACTTGCATTATGCTAAGTTCCATGCATGAATATGCATCAGACAAGTTTATACATCAATACTTGCAATTTCACGCATGATATGTTTTTGGTTCCACACGAGTTTTGATCACATTAAATGGTCTTGGCATTTTGCCAACCATTTCACGTGCGAGAGAGTAAAAAGTTCCACGCATGATTTGTCACATAAAACGGATGATAATTCTTGATATGTAAAACCACGCGTGAGAGCAAGTGGTGCACTCGCAAGTTTTAGCACTTTATTACGTTAGTATTATTCATAAGTGATAAACCACGTGTGAGAGCAAGGAGGTACCGGGTGTGATTAAGCATACCAAAATGAATGATTATTCATGAGTGCTAAACCACATGAGAGAGCAATGAGGTACCACATGTGATTAAGCACATAGAACTGAATGATCTTTTAGAAGTACAAAACCATACGTGAGAGGACAAGGTGTTCACGTGTGATCTGTCACATTTAGTTTTGTGAAACTTCCTTAGTATAAAAACATATGTGATTATACTAGTCACTCACAAGAAAATGCACCAACAGATAGAATCATTATTCCAATAGTTTGTCAACTTTCAAAAACTATATAAGTGATTCATTTTAAACTAAAATAGAGACTAATGATCTTTGAGTGAACATATTATCTTTTGTGCATTTAAAGATCTTTCAAATTGCAATTTTTACTAATTGCATTCATTCATTATTCTTGAAAAGAATTGTAAAAAGCTCTCAAAGGTTTATAAGCTTTCATTTGTATTCTCATCTACTTTTTAAAAGAGTTTTCAGTAAAAAGCTTTTGTTTTCATCTCAAAAATCTTGAAAAGGATTTTTCAAGTGTTGTAACATCTTGCTAGATTGTAGCAAGGTGTGATAAGTGAATCAAAACAAGATTAGTCTTGAGATTTGTACTATGGTGGCAAGCACCCATTGAAACTTGTGATTTTAGTTGAAAATCTCAAGTGTGATCTTGTGGACTAGACGTAGGCCAAGTTTGTGGCTGAACCAATATAAATCTCTATGTGTTATCTTCTTCTTGAGCTCTTTAGCTCTTTACTCCTTAAGTTTTCGAAAGATTTAGTGTCACCCAATTCACCCTGCTCTTGGGTACCAACCTATCTTAACATTTGATATCAAAGCTTGGACTCTTAATAAAAGGCTTAACAGATTAAAAGGATCTTATGATTGGTTTTAGTGACTGTATTCTCCCTAAAGGTGCTGAAATCAATAGGCCTCCAGGATTTAATGGTGAAAACTATACTTTCTAAAAAAGTAAAATGAGATTATTCTTTAAGGTCTCAGACCTTGATTTATAGGAGATTGTCTAAATTGGTCCCTACATTCCATACAAAACTATAGAAGGATAACTCATAAGAAAATAAAGGAGTGAATTCACTAAAAAGGAAGAAAAACTTATGCTGCTTAACTCCAAGGCAAAGTTGATTATTGCAAGTGCCTTGAGTTAACAAGAATATTTCAGAGTGAGTAATTTGGAGACTGTAAAAGAAATGTGAGATACTCTAGAAATTGCTCATGAAGGCATCTCAGGAGTCAAGGAAAATAAAATTAGCACTTTGACTCAGCAATATAAGTTATTCAAGATGAAACTTGGAGAAAACATCAAGGATATGCAAGTCAAATATACACACATGATGAACGAACTTGCAGTACTTGAAAAGACATATACTTAAAAAGAGCAAGTCAAGAAAATTATGAGAGGTCTCCCAACTAAATGGCAACCCAAAATTACTACTGTTGAAGAAGAAAAAAGTAATTCTATAAGATCTGTAACAGCTCTATTTGGAAGTGTATTGCTCTCACTAACATTACCATACGCTCCACTACAAAATTACTAATTACTTCAAACATTTGAATTGAAATTATTTAAAACATGGGGATCCCATATAAGATTTTCAAAAATCATTTTATAATCACTTAAGTTATTCAACCCCAATACACAATTACATATACAGCGGAAGCATTTAGACTTAATGCATCAAAGGTCAAGAGAACATGTGCATATAAGAAAAACAAAGTGCAATTTTGCACCGTGTACCACGACTTGTGCCACATGCGCCACAGCATGTGGTACAGAGGTCACAGTCACTCGCTCTATGCCGTGCACTGTAGTATGCGAGTACATGCGCCGTGGGATACACACCTGAATATGCTGTCAAATAATAGTTTCTAATATAAAATTCAAATGCACGGCATTTCCACACACGAAGTTTGATTGGGATAGTTCAAGTGCTCACACGAAGCTTGTTTGAAAATCTAACTAATGACACTGGTTTCATTCCAATTCAATATTTCTATCAAAAATTGAACACTAAAGTTCACTTTGACCATTTTCTGTCAAATTTTATCACTTGTCACTAACCACTTTTTGGGCCTTGACCAAGTCCAAATGAACATAACACACCTAACTGACCATATACATGCACAATATAATACATACAAAAATTTGGCTTGTAAATTGCCCATTTTTTTCTTTAGGCTAAATTTACATTTCATTTCTTTAATCTCATCTATCGCCAAATCACTACAAATAGTCTCCACCCATCTCAAATTCACACATAATCACATCCATCCACTAACCCATTCAATCATTTCACCTTTCACACATATACAAGGGCTAGGGAGTTCAAAATCACAAACCACACCACAATCATATCTTATGCACATGTACAAATCCTATAGCAACTTATACATATACAGGACTAATACCAACCAAATTCATTACACCATATCTTACAAAGATGTAGGTGAGAGATGTCAACTCAGTCTATATCCTTTTCCTTTGACCTTCTAGTAGTAGAACCTGAAAAATGTAAATAACCATGAGTAAGATAAAAATCTCAATAACTAAATATAATTTATTAAATGTCTATTACCACAAATAATCATGCCAACGTAACTAAAAATATCATATAGCACATATATACAACATATCAATACTAAATTATCATTTTTGCATATAAATCACATTCCAAACACTTTTACACCACAGCATGATCAACTATCCACCAATCCTCTAAAGCTTCCTGACACGAAACCATAGGTTCTTTTGGATCAACCAATTTTTGACCCGAGCTCACTTTCGGTGGTAGAAACACCCAGCCAAAGGTAATCTAACCCCCTACAGACTATGGTTTCCCTCTTCACACGCTTGTGATAGAGGTGTCGTTGACTCCTAATCGCATCCTAACCCTAACGGGCACTAGGGATTTACCAGACTGCCCGAATATCCCATGGTAATAGTCTCATAATATGTTGTACCAGATTACCTATGGTAACAGCCCGTATAATGCTACACTGTATGTCCCATAGTGCTAGCGCAATCATATGAATTTTTCACTCACATATCTCCACACACACACAACCCCACATATCCTGAGTGAACTCCCACACCCTATGATCATGCTCTTTCACAACTTTCACTACTTATACACCTTTCCATAACATATATACTTTCATATCATATATATAAATATCCATTAAAATCAATAACTTTTCAAATTCATTTTACAATGCAAAGTTTATGCTAAAACCACTTCAATAACAATAATGTATAAACTCATAAAATTCGCAATTTATCATTTGATATTTACTTATACACAATCAATAGTTAATAAATATAATAAACTATATAGTTATTTCAACCCTTCTGCTCAATAGAAAGGATTACCCATGTAACTTCAACTTTATTCAAGCTCCTTTCTCGTAACTCGTGTGTCACACACTATAATCTACATAGAATTAGCATTCAGAGCCAATTTCTCCATTGACCAAAAGTGCCAATTATCACATTTAAGTACTCAATCGTTATCAAATCCACATTTCACACTCGATTATGCACATTACTATTGATCACCCCTCATTTCAAGCTTTTACATTTTTTAACAATTTTTCTCTTACTACTCTCTCTAAATTAGGGTAATTTTTGCCTAAAGCTTCAAAACTTTATCGTTTTGACTACAAGCAGTCACAAAGCACTAGTTTAGTTTCAAAAAACCTTTTTATTACTATTGGGTAAGAAATTAACTCCTTAAAACTCCTAAATTCACTTTCTCATTGGTTAAAACTAAGAGAAAATAGGATAGATTCGAAAGTTAAGGCAGTACGTGACTTACCTGATAAGTAAAGAGTCAGAAACACTGTTCTTGCTCCTGATTTTGGTTGCCCTAACACACCCTTGGCTCTTCTCCATACCTGATCTCTTCTCTTAGGTTCCCTTTTCTATTTTCCATGAGCTGGACACATCCTATTAATCTTTTTTCTGCCCCATGCGCCGCGGCGCATCTATCACCCACCGCGATGCATAGCACAGTGAGGGAAATCCTCACTATGCTCACACGCTCTGATTCAAGACTCTGCTCTTCTACTTATATCTATTCATATAAAATCCTAATGAGTCAATATAATACTTCACTGCTCAGAACCCTAATCCCACATTAAATCACTAATTCATTCCTAATTAGTCATTAATGAAGGATTAAAAATTTAGGATGTTACAGAAAGTCTTGACGATCATGATGGAAGACTGTCCATGCTGAAGTAAGATGTTGATAAAAAGAAGTTACTAGCCTTAAAAGTGACAAAGGAGGAATCTGAGTCTGAAGCAAGTAACAGTGATGACTTTGAAAAAGATATGGCTATGTTTGTCAAGAAATTTGACAAATTCTTTGGAAAGAAAAAGTTTAGGAAGAAATTCTCAAAGAAGAAAGAAAAAGAGATAATTTGCTACAAATGCAAGAAGCCTAGACATATTAAGGCTGATTACCCTCTGAAGCAAGAGAATAAAAGCTACAAGTATGACAAGAAGAAATTCAAGGCTCATCTCTCTGCAATTTAGGGTGACAGTGATGAGGAGTCCACAGAAGAAAAAGAAGCAAATTTGTGGCAAATGGCCAAAAGTCATTCTAATCAGGTAAACGATTCAAACTTTAACTCTGAATTTGAGTTTACATTTGAAGAGCTAAAAATTTTTTGAAGAATTGCACAATGAATCTTTTCTTTTTATAGAAAATCTTTAACAGGTGAAAAAGAGACTAACTATTACTGAAAAAAAAACTTGTTTCTCAAGAATGAGAATGATGCTTTGAAAAAGAATATTATTGTTTTAAAAAAGGAAACTTCATGCACTAATTGTTCTCTTTATATTTTTGAAAAAGAAGATTTAAAAAACACTCTTGCAAAATTTATTAAAGGTAGAGATAATTTAAACAAAATTTTGAATTAACAACGAAGTGTTTTTTTATAAAGTTGGCATAGGCTTACTGGCGGTAAAATATAATCCATTCAATCTTGAATTTAACAATAAAAATAAATGAGGAAAAATACAAATGATTTTTGATAGTGAGGTAATTCATTTAGAATCATAAACGATGCACTCTTAGCATATTATATCTCTTGTTGAGAGAATCAATCCAAGAGAATGAAATTATTCGTGAATGCAAGATCACCATAAAAAGAGATCAAAAATAACAACAACAAAAATTCACATGTCAGAGATTCCTTTCAACACAATATTTCACAGTGAAACATATGATCAAACATCTATTAAACATACTAATCTGAAAAAAAAAAAAAGTAAGCATTAGATATCATATTATCTTTTTTAAAGATTGCAAAGTAGATATGAAATTATCAGATCACCCAAACAAAAAAAAATAGAGAGATAGATTTGTTTGCCTTATCCTCACACATAAACGGATTCCAGGCAGATCTGAGATTCTGATCACATAGAAGGATGTAAATGCAAAAATCGTTACTCACTTACTGTCTTGTTCATCCGACTCCTTTCTCCTCTGTTCCGTGTTCCTCTTCGAAAAATTTTCAAATTTCACTCTTCACTTTTTCAGAAATTTTTTCGCTCTTTCGGTCCTCCTTTACTCTAAGTCTCTGTTTTCTTTTCAGAAATCTCCCTCTAATCTCGGCCTCCTCTGTCTCTAGATCGCTCAATCTCTCTCGTCTTCCCCATGCTCGACTCTTCTTCTATCTCCAGATGCTCTCTTCTCTCCGTCTCTTTCTCTTCGTCTCCTTCTCTTTGTCTCTCCTCCCTTTTTGTTTTCAAAAATCTCTCCCTTTTATATCTCAGAAGAATACCATACCTAGGTAGCGCGAATCTATGAACTCTAGCTCGATTCAGCTTCTCCTTCCTCACACGGCGCCGTATTCCATCTGCAAAGCCGCCTTTCTTCACCCCAGTCTGTGCTCTTTTCCCTTTTCGACTAAGTCTATGCTGGAAATTATAGGAGCAGGAGAAGATATCCATTTTTAGAGCTTGCGTGTGAAGTGACTGAAGTTTGCGTGTTCGACTCTGCAATCATAGACGAAGCCGCGCCTGTGTCTCTCGCGCCTCTTCTCTCTCTGCGAATTCTTGTCTCTGAGAAGACGCCGACTGAATGGTTAAACACGTGTGTTTATGCGTTTATCCATTCAACCTCATATCCTTTTTTTTAAAAAAAATCGTAACTCCTTTATTTATTTATTTATTTATTTATTTATTTATTATTATTATTATTATTATTATTATTATTATTATTTAGATTTTTTTTGTTGTTTCTTTTGTTGTAGATATATATATATATATATATATAAGGGAAACAACCAGATCTACAAGAATTTAAAAATATTTAAACTTTAAGATGTTGATTCTCATAATTTTTTGATTGTTAAGATAATTTGGTGAAGAGTTTTTTCAAAGACTCAAGCAAGATTTTTTAAAAAAATATAATCTTAAAAAAGATTAAATTTTATTTTTATATTTTTTTATAAATTTTTTGTTATTTTTTAATGAATTAAAAGAAATAAGATCCTAACCAACAACAAAAAAGAAAAAAAATTATCTGGGTTAAGATTAAATTAAACATATTAATTAAGGATTTTTTTGATTTTGAAAATATAATCCTAAAAAAGATTAAATTTTATTTTTTTATTTTATATTTTTGGTTATTATTATTTATATTTTTAAATGTAAAATACACCCAGACAAAATACAGTGTTCACACCTATGAGTGCATCAATTAAAATGGATAAGGATGAAAAAGAAAAAAAAAAGGAGGATCAATTAAAATTTAGCAAAAGATTGGATCCCTGAATGATTTTCTTTAATTTGCTTCCGTTGTGTATTTCTCTGATTATATTGTGAATTGAATAATTTTGCAAAATAAGTCTTCAACCGAAGCTTTTGAAATAAAATTTGATTATTGTAATTGATGTGAGGCAGTGGCAACACCGTAATCTTCTCCAATATTGAGTGGATATATAGGGAAGGTTACAGTCAGGACCAGCTTAGAATTATGAAAGTTGTGTGAACTCAGAGTATTGTGTAATAAACTAAAAGCTTGAATATATATGTAAATAAGTTGCCATATGAGATTGCATGCATGTTTGAGTTGTGTTTGATTGAAATTGTAGGGATGTGTAATAATAATGGTGAATCTTAACCTACGTATAAAATTATAATGAAATGAGTAATTTGGGGCTAAGATTGAATTATGATTATGTTATGAATATAGATATATGTACACTTGTGGTGAAAAAGACCAAGTGGGCCGAGTTGTATTAAATTGTGTTAAATTGTGATTTACGGAAAATGAGCTGTTGAATGGTCGAATTTTGAGATATGTGTATATATGTGATATGTTATGGTCAATTAAATATATTAGGTCCTTTTTGATTTGATTCAAGGCCTAGTGTGGTAGAATTGATTTGAGTGCTTGGGTGTGTTAACTTTTGATAAAAAGTGACTTTTTGCACCCAGTTATCTAAATTTTGATCAAATCATTAGATTGGGTCCAAACTTTTCTCATTATCTAGCTTATGAAATAAGCTTTGTGTGGGCCCTTGGATCACTCCAATCGGATGTTGTATGTGAAAACTACGCACGTCAGAAGTTAGTCATTTTTGCTATCAAATGACAGTAGGAAATTCAAACTGGCATCGCGGAGCATGGCATCTCACACTATAGCGCATGACACAAAAAGTTAGGCGTGGAGCTCTGTGCCACATGCCGCGCCACATGTATTGCACGCAGTGGTGCATGACCTATATTCCAACCTGATTTTGTAGTTTTAAGCATGCAATGGTTTATATGAATGCATGTGACTTGCTTTTGCTGTGTAATTATATGATGTGATGTGATTTTAATGATTTTACAAAATGAGTTTTAGGCTCAAGATTTTCAAACAAATTTTGATTACCAGTTATTATGATTAGTGTGGTGCTTTAGTTAATCTTTTCTTGTATCGAGCGGATATAGAAGGAGGTTACATTCTTGGCATTAGCAATTGTATAGTTATATTGTGAGGCCTCAACAAGTTCTAATTAAGGTTAATTTGGAATTAATTCTTAGTTAGGCATTATTTTAGGTATTATTCTAAGCCAATTAATCAATCAATAATACATTGAGAGCTTAATGATGCTAATTTAGTTTACTACATGAGTGCTAATGGTTAGGCCTGTATGTGTGACTTTATTAGCTATGGTTGGGATAGTCTTGAACTACACTTGGCTAAAGAGAGCATTTCCTTAGCAATTTAATTGTTGAATGAGGATTTCTTCATCATGATACTCTTAGGGATCACTTCCATTCATTGTTGCAAACACATTTTCATTTATTCACTCATTTTCTCTTAAAACCAAAAATTGCATAAACACTAGTTAGAATTTTAATTTCATTTTCAAGAAAATTAATCAAACCATTTTCCATTGTCGTTTATAGCACATTTGATAGTCATTCTTAATCATTTTTTAATCCAACTTGCTATGGAATTTGACTTAGGTTGTGCCCTATACACATTGGGGTGTCTACTTAGTTTAATTTGGTGCATACGCAACTAGTGCATTTCACCAAACCAGTAACAAAGTTCTAATTTAGTCTCAGAGAACCTTTCTATTACTATAGGGTAAGAAATTAACTCTTTAAAACTTTCAAATTCAATTTTTCAATAGTTTAAGCTAAGATAAAATAGGGTAGAATCAAAGGTTAAGATAGTACAAGACTTACCGAATAAGTAACAAGTCGAAAATGTCGTCCTTCCTCCTGAAACCTCATGCCCTAGTAGAGCCTCCCTTCTTCCTCTCCCTCTTGTGCATCTTTCTCTATTTTCCTCTCTATTTTCATGAGTAAGACATGTTCTTATTCATCAAATTTATGTACCATGCGTTGTAACGCGTGTGCTATGGTGAGGAAACTCCTTATCGCGCTCACACGCTCTGCTTCACCATGACGTTCTTTCACTCCAATATGTTCATATAACACCTCAAAAAGTCAAAATAACATTTTACCATCTAAAACCCTAATCTCACATTAAATTACTAATTCACCCTTGATTAGCATTAATATAAGAATCAAGAATTCGGGATGTTACACAAACCACCTCTACTTCTTCCCCTTTCCACATAAGAAGTATAAGATGAAGAGAGGAAGAAATGCATTCATTAGCATGAATCCAACAAGTTCTAATTTAGTCTCAGAGAACCTTTCTATTACTATAGGGTAAGAAATTAACTCTTTAAAACTTTCAAATTCAATTTTTCAATAGTTTAAGCTAAGATAAAATAGGGTAGAATCAAAGGTTAAGATAGTACAAGACTTACCGAATAAGTAACAAGTCGAAAATGTCGTCCTTCCTCCTGAAACCTCATGCCCTAGTAGAGCCTCCCTTCTTCCTCTCCCTCTTGTGCATCTTTCTCTATTTTCCTCTCTATTTTCATGAGTAAGACATGTTCTTATTCATCAAATTTATGTACCATGCGTTGTAACGCGTGTGCTATGGTGAGGAAACTCCTTATCGCGCTCACACGCTCTGCTTCACCATGACGTTCTTTCACTCCAATATGTTCATATAACACCTCAAAAAGTCAAAATAACATTTTACCATCTAAAACCCTAATCTCACATTAAATTACTAATTCACCCTTGATTAGCATTAATATAAGAATCAAGAATTCGGGATGTTACACAAACCACCTCTACTTCTTCCCCTTTCCACATAAGAAGTATAAGATGAAGAGAGGAAGAAATGCATTCATTAGCATGAATCCAACAAGACTTGGTATTGTGCTGTTGTGCTGAACATAAAGAAAGTAGTGAGAGATGATTTAGATCCAACTTCCACTTGTAATAGTAATATCCCCAGAACCTTTGAGGCTGTCCTTATAAATCCTACCATGGACACTTTTGTTGGCATTAAATCTTGTTCATCTCAAGCCATTATCAACTAGTACTCTTGTCATAGGTTTTCTATCAAAATGAGCCTTAATATACAAAGGCTTTAAATGTTGAGTCAACTTAAGCTTGGGTTTTTCCAGAATAGCCCATTTTGATATCCCTTCCATAGCCTCTAATATAATTTGGCATATAGGCTCTAATTTATTGTTTGCTGTTTGCACCTTTCCCTGTACTTTAGATGGTTTAGGCTTTTCATCTTCCCTTGGCTCCATAGGACAATATTGGTATGGGCTCGTCTACTTTGTCTCAGTGATCCCCATTTTGTCTTGTAAAAGCTTGTCTTGAGTCACATTTCTTATGGATTAGCTAAATTGTAAAGAAAGGGTCAAAGAAAACATGCAATAGAGGTTTAGGGGTACCTATCCTACATAAATATCTCTAAATTGCTTGCTTTCATTTTCAATTTCTTCCCTCTCATCTTGGTCCTCCATTGACCTCCTTCTGAATTTGCTTGATTCTTACCCGTCAATATTCTCCCGGAAGTCTATCTTATATTTCTTTAGATATCTCTGTGCTGCCCGCTTGCATTGAAGGTGTCTTTTCTAAATTCGTGTTAAAATACTTAAGAATTTCTAGTGTCTCATGACCCTCCATTGTAAGGGCGGCATGTTGCTTGGTGGAGTGACAAACCTGTCATTATTCCTTATAGGCTTTGGTTTTAAAGAGAGCTCTTGAGTGATTTTTTATTCCTGTTCCACTATGGGTTGTCCTTAGGATCCACATCCTAACCTAAGGGTTTTCCTGAGAATAACTCCCCTGCTTTAGGTAAGGCTGAGTATTTTATAAAATAATCAAATTTTCTTAATGGCTCTCCTAAGTGGTCCCAAACCACTTTGGGTTTCTCCAGGCTCTTCATAAGATGCCCCTTCAGGCCTATATCCTAACTCGAAGGCCTACCTATGTATGGTTTGTTGTGTCAAGTAGGGCTGTGTGCCTCTCATCGTAATCGATCTTGCCAAAAGGTTCCCTTAAGCGGCCCCACATTTTCCTTAGCTTTCTCTTGTCTCCTTTCATCTTTGATCTATACATTCCAGGGTCATTTGTTCCCCTATTTCCTAGTTTTTTTTTTGGAGTCTATCTCTACCATATTGATAATGGCAAAAGATGAGAACAGATCTTTATCCACTACTGTGGATTTTTCCTTTTCTGAAAACTTCAACAAGCCTTTATTAGTCTGGTCTTGTACAACATTCTTAAAGGCCCAACAGACATTAGTACTGTGGCTTCAGGAATGGTGATATTTACAGTATTGCTTTCCTTTACGTTCTTTTTTGGAGGGAATTTCATGATCCTTTCATCGTGATCGATCTTGCTAGAAGGTTCCCTTAAGCGGCCCCACATTTCCTTAACTTTCTCTTGTCTCCTTTTGTCTCTGATCTATACATTCCAGGGTCATCTGTTCCCCTATTTCCTAGTTTTTTGTTTGTTGGAGTCTATCTCCACCATATTGATAGTGGCAAAAGATGAGAACGGATCTTCATCCACTACTATGGATTCTTCCTTTTCTGAAAACTTCAACAACCCTTTATTAATCTGGTCTTGTACAACATTCTTGAAGGCCCAACAGAAATTAGTTCTGTGGCTTCAGGAATGGTGATATTTACAGTATTGCTTTCCTTTACGCTCTTCTTTGAAGGGAATTTCATGATCCATAGGTAATGAGATGAACTTCTCTTTAAGCAAGAAATCGAAGATTTCTTTGGTCTTTAAGGTTTCAAATATGTATCGCACTGCATTAGGTTTTTTTAAGGGTTTCAACAACATCCTTATTAAGGCCGAGCAAGTATAGTCCCCTATGCTTTTTAGTTTTGCTACAGCCATATCTAGTTCACCAAAGTATGTGCTTGTGGTTGTTCGCCGATGGTGATCCTCTTCCTTCAATAATTCCTCGTATTTACAAACCTTGGCCATGTGCTTATAAAAGTCTCTAAACTCCATCCCTAGAACTTTTTCCTCAACTCTAATCCAACTTGCTTGGGCTAATTTGACAAATTCAACCCTTGAAAGAGATACATTACACCTGCTCCTTAGTCTTTTGAACCTTATAAGATATTCATCTGCCGCCTCTCCTGCTTGCTGAGTGAGTTTGCAGGAAAGCTCTGCGATACTAACTTTAGGTTCTACCTTATAATTGTACATGAAATTTATGTTCCATCTCAAGCCAATTAAGCACCAAGTTACAGGGCAATATAGTATACCAAGTGAATACTAGACCTATGAGGGAGTTCGGGAATAATCCTACCTTCAAGTTGGCAAAGTTGTTGTAATTGGTGATTTCTCCACATTGGATGGTAAATCTGCCAATATGTTCGAGTGTTGACTGTGTGCCATCTCCTGAGAACAAGGTAAAATATGGGATTCTATAGCCTCGAGGATAAGAGTTGTCTCAGTCTATGTGTTCAAGGTACAGTTTCGAGAACGTAGGCCAGCCAATCAGTACTATGTGCTCAATATGTCCACCTATATCAACATCAGGCATTAATGGTTCTAACCTTGCGAGTGCAAAGTTTCCTTCTGGCTTGTTAAAACCATCACCCGTTTCATCAATCTTCTTATCTTTTCTTGTCCTTAGCATCTTCTTGCTACACAGTGTCCCATCAGGCATGCCACAAATTGTTCACCATAAATAACAAAAATACTAGGCGTACTAGAGATACTGAGTTTCAAATGATAACAAAAGGTCCCCGAGCTCCCTTATCACAGTTTACCTGGATGTAAAAAGTACAAAGGAATTGGAATAACAAATATTTGATGAATAGAAAATGTAAATTACAAAGTAGTAAAGGTTATAAAGCTAAAAGTGATTTGAAAATTAAGAGCTATAAGTATAAAGGAATTCAGCAACTGATTGTTGTTTGCTACTTATTTCTGTGCCCTTCTCTTTCTTTTATACTAGTTTAGATGAGATGGTTGCCCTTATAAAACTTGGAGTTCGTTAGCGAAGTATTAGGGATTTAGTAGGCACGGCTTGTGAGATTCATGGCATAATCTTCCTCTTCACAATGCGTATTGTCGTTAACTGTTAGCCCATATCCCCAAAATATTTGTTGATAATGGCCATGACCTTACAAGATTCAGGGCTTATTGAGATCACGATCTATTATGAGACAACGATCTCGATAAGGATTATGAGTCTTAAGGGATTCATATACCCAAATTGACTTAATCAAGTTATTTCATCATGATTTGGACATGCCCTATTGTTAGATTGCTTATTGGGCCTGACTTTTTAATTATTCAGCCCATTTTCTATTATAGTCATGGTAAAAGATGTTTTGGTTTTAGCCCAAACAATAGTCTTTGCAGGGGGGAAAAGATTTTCATGGAAACCATGATCCAAGTGGAAACACAAGATATGCCCAACCCCAATCAAGCATGCCTTAATGACCATGTGATGAACACAAGTTCTTTCAGACACTTCTTACAAGTTCGATTAGGAAGAAAACCCAAAGCTAATCATCAGTCACAATTCCAAGAAAAGGTGAAGTATCTATTTTTTGAAACTGATAAAAAAGGGATTTTCAATTAAAATAAAAGTGTGTATCAAATCAAGGATAAAACATTATTATCATTGAGGATAATGATTAAAAAAAGTTGTCTCTGATATGTGCATTGCATGTGTATGAGATATGTTATTGTAACAATATACATGAAGATTTGATCCCAGCCTACATAATGACCAACCTGTGACAGGCCCAATTAATCAAAAGTGGATTGCAGGTTAGTTTCTTTGACAACTTCTGGCTTAAGCCGAACTTAAAAATTTAAGATGCAAGTCTCATCTTTAACACAAGAAGAATAGAGTAAGGTGGCTGATGGCGTTGCTCATGACGATTGGGACTTCACTTGACTTGCAAACATTGTGCCAACTGAAATAATAAAGCATCTCATTGCTATTTTGTCTCCTCAACTAAGTAGATATCATACTATGACATGGAGTGTCAGGCTCAACCAACCATTTTTTCACCCCAAAAAAAGGTCCATTTGGCTCATCCAGTCCACCAAAATTGGGCTAGTACATTAGGCTCAACCCATTTTCCCAATGCCAAGTGTTACCTCTAATGGTATGCTCTCCATCAAGTTTGATCTATGCTAATGAGCATTGACATACTTGTATTTGTCATGTACCAAGTGCTTGGGTTCTTTGCTAAAAGCTTGAACACAAATACCATTGCATAACTCATCATCTTTCACTTACAATGATCACTTCAATCTTCGAGGAGGCTCTTTTTAAGGTTTATCTATTTTTTTTTATTAACGTTCATTTTTATCTTTAAACTATTTCCATAAGAGTACTAATGTCTTAAACTCTTATCGTAAAAATTGTCTTATACATAATTAAATCATAACAATGTTGCCGTTGATATTAAATTGACAACTTTTGACTACTTTGTTGACTATTGCTATGATAAATAATTTATGATACTGGGTGTTCTTACAAAAATAATTCAAGGGCAAAAATGAATGTTAATCTTTTTTTTTTCTTTAACAAATCTAATGTACAATATTTTACTAATTCAAATTAAAGTAATATTGAGCCCCATTTAAAAAAAATTCTCAAAACAATTTTTCTCCCTCATAAGTTTGAACTTGAGACTTTAAGGAATGCTTATAACTACTCAATCCAATTACCATTGATAGATTTTCTACACAATTTGATTACATTTGGTAGAGATGAAGAGATCAACAGCTTGGTCAATGACCTTGAGGTATAGTGACATGAAAGCTCTTCTTATGTAGAAGGTTGTTGGTTTGATCCTACTCATAACTTCAAGCTATTAATGTTTACCCCTCTCAATAAAAAAAAGCATAAAGAGAAAGAAAGTGATCAACAGCTTGGCTTTTCATCATTTTCTCTTCCTCCAATGCAGTATAGGAAAAATAGATGTAGCAAGAGGATAATGACCGTTTTTGTGGGAATGTCCAATCTAAATAATTAAGAATTTTATGAAATAATAAACAAATACTCTTCAACAATAGGCCTTCAATATAATTTTCTCGAGGCTTCAGCATCTCATTAAAATGAAGGCTCCTTCTAAATGCTTGCCGTTGGATTTGCTTTTAGTAGTAACTGGGAAATTTTTTATCCCTAACCGCTCACAAGAAGATAAACAGGAGATTCATAATTTTACTGCAAGATGTTCTGTCTCCTTTCTTTTTTATTTGTTTCTAATCAATATGTGAAAAAATTTCTTCTTCATAATCCTTCCATCCAGACTTTGCCCACAAAATTGTCAATAATTCATGAATGACCAAAAGCCTTGTTATTAACTGTCAACAAATATTTCTTATCAACAACAATTGGATCAGAAGGACGCAAGTATTCAAATATTAATTCTTGGGATAGGAGCATTTTGTTCGTATTCCATTGAACTTCCTTCAGGAGAAAGGTACTTGTTACACGAAAGAAATCCAGGACCAACTGAACAACCAAAAAGGAAAAATAATGTCAAAGTAAACAAAAATAAATCAAAATGGATAACGATTCTTGATATACTGACATCCTCAATGTGAAAGTAAACCTTAAAACGGAAGTGGTAACCTAGTCACAAAGCCCTTAGGGATGAAAATGATTACATAAGAAAGTTGTAGCACCTTGCTATCAACAAAATCAATTAAACCATCAAGCGTACCTTACACTCCCAATCCTGTAATTCCATAGAAAGGTATGACAATGCATTCCTCTTCTTTCGTGGTGAACTGGAAGAGATTTACTTCTCTTTTGCCAAAAAAGTGGAAAAATGTCATAAATATATTCCTAACCCAAGCTCCTTCGGATTTGTTTCTACCATCCATGGAGGCCTGTTTGTTTCCGAATGAAAGGAACAAAAGCAAATGAAATTACAGCTCAGGGTAGGTAACAAGTAATGCAACTCTAGAACATGGTTTAAGATACTCACTTGTTCATCACAAAGTTAAATGTTCCTTGCGAGGCACGTTTGAGAAGAATTTCTCTAGCCTCAATTGCAATACCTTCAGGCTGCACGATGAAATGTTCATAACACCTTGTTAAGCAATATTTAAATAACCCAGTACTGCATCTCAACAAATAATAATGATAATAATAATAATCTAAGGTTGCAGTTTTCCACTGCACCCAGAGAGAGAGAGAGAGCAATGCAAAACACACACACACATGTTCATATTGATTTGAACAGAGTTGGAAAAGAGAGATGCAGCAGAAACAAAGTGGGAGATCAAGAACAGAGAGGGAGAGAAAGACAGAATACAGAGAAGAAGAAATGAGAAGATGAAGGCAAAGCAGTAGAGGGGGAAGAAGGCAGACAAAGAGGGGAGTGAGAAAGAGAGAGCTTTCATATTCTAATATTCATTTATCACTCAAAGTGTCCAATACAAGTGCTAACTTAGTCTATTTATAGACTAAGCTTTCCTTCCCCTTAAGGAAGCTCAACAACTTGCAAATTAAAAAATATAAAGAGTAAAAGCAAAAGTCAGATTTCCTTCAAACTTACAAAATGCTAAATAATGCAAAAAACAATTATTTCTTTTTAGAATAATATCTGCCACATTTTCTATCAATTCCCCTACTGCAAAGAACTCTCCTCTGGAGAGGTAGAGAGTTGATAGGCTTCTAGTAGGGTATGATCAGGTTGCTGGAATTCATCTTTGGAAATCCAGGTGGCATCTTCATCTGAACAACCTCTCTAACAGACCAAGTAACGACGGAGGGGCCCTTCAGAAGTAAAGACTATTTGGTTATCCATAATGGTCTCAATTTCTTCAACTGGTGGTAAGATAGCCGATAATGATAGAATTGGTACTTGTGGAGGCTGAGTACCTACAAATTCATCAAAAAGCAAAAGCAGAGGCTCAAAAGTTCCCCAGTAAGGATTACAAACTGGACTTATGGCCATATTAGGAGGTAATTATAAGAGATAAGCGTTAGGGCCTAATTTCTTTGCTATGCAAAAAGGTCCAGAAGCTAGAGCATGCAACTTTTTAAAAGCGTGTTTAGGGTAACATTCTTGATGAATTCAAGCCATAACATAATCACCTATATTAAAGCTTTGAAATCGATGATGAGTATTAGCAAATAATTTATATTGATCATTACTCATTGCTAATTTTTGCTTAATTTCAGCATGTAAGTCATGAAGGCAATGGGCAAAGGATTCCACAAATTCAGAGATGCGAAATGTCAACGGGATTGGCAGGAGGTCAATAAGCTGTTTAGGATTAAAACCTTGAACAATTTGGAAGGGACTCATGCCTATAGACCTATTCACTGAATTATTATACACAAACTCGGGAGTGGGTAGAACCAAATTCCAATTTTTTGGTCTATCTCCAACTAAACTCCGAGCAAATTACCCAAACTTTGATTGGTAACTTTAATTTGCCCATCAGTCTGGGGGTAGAAAGCAAAAGAGAACTTTAATTGGGTACCAAAAAGTTTCTATAGGGTCTTCCAAAAGTAGCTAACAAACTTAACAAGTTGATGAAAATGACAAGTTGGGCCTAGATGTAGATACTCCTGTAGGTCGCTTAAACAAACTGGAGGTTCGAGCTTGTCTAAACTGATTGCTCTGTATGTCGGTACGCTTGACCGATGAGTACTGTGATAGAGACTCTACTTCCAAAGCCTTGTGATAAGCTTCTTTAAGGGACTTTGGAAAGTTTGACTTGAGTTCTTTCTGGAAAGTTTGACTCTGGAAACTTTAATGGGCTTAAGTCCATTAACAAACTTGGTAATGGTGCCCATTTTTCTTCATCCACGTCACACCTAATCATAAGGTCATCGAATCGAGATATATACTTAGAAGTTGTGGAGATTTGCCTTAAATTGAGGTATTTGACATACAGTTGACTCTTATAATGAGTGGGCACATATTTTTCTTTTAGCTTGGCCTTCATTTCGTCCCCTATCTCAATTGGTGGATAGCCTTGTCGCTCAATATTCCTTTAGACATTTTGCCAGTACTTTCTAGAAGATCCCACAAGTTTCATCTTTGTAAACCGAACTCATTAAGTATCATTCATGTCATACCATTCAAAATAATCTTCCATGCTGGCTAACCAATCTAAGAACGTACTAGGATTCAATCATCCATCAAATTCAAGAGCCTTAACTTTAACCTTCTTGGTGATGTCATCAGTATGTGTCCTTCTTAGGCTTTCTCTACCATTACCATGGACTGGTTGGTATGGCCTATAATGTTGTTCTTCTGGCCCTTGTCCATCCCAAGTATCATCTATATCATCAGACTGATGATTGGCAAACTCACGAGGAGATGGTCTACTGTGTCTTTCATCTATAGCTCTAGTGGAATGACCAATCCTAAGGGAATTACCTCTAGGTTGATTATGGACTGGGAATTGCTCATTTCTAAGACTTGACTCTCCTCTAATGATAGGTCTTTCGAGCAATCCTTCAGTTGTTTTCCCTGTATCTTGTCTATATTTTAACTGAATTGCACCCATTATCTCTTCAAATTTATTGTTCATGAATTCTTTAATTTCATCAACACGTTGATCCACATACGCCCTTTGAGCCCTTTCAGATTCCTCAAGATGATTTCAAGTGATTTGGGAGTTATTGGCCATGGCAGATTTTAGGGCAGTAATTTCTTGGTTTAATAAAGCTTGCTTATCATATAAATCACGAATGATCATACCATGACAAAGGTGGTATAGTAAAGTGCAAGTTTAGGGTGAATTTAGTAACCTAAGGAAGAAAGGCCCTAAGTTGCTCCTCACCTGAATAGGTGAAATCCCTTTTTAACAATACTAATCCTTTGAGAATTCAAAAATTCCGCATGGATCGTATGCTAAATAGGTAACAACTCGAGTGAAGTCTTCACAATAATCTCTGAAGGTTCAAAAACCTCTCAGGAAAACCGTTAGAAACTTCAACTATCCTAGGGTAATTTCTTGGACCCGGGCATAGGGCCGAATTGTATGTGAGGTAAGCGTCCTAGGTTATACGGATACCACTGTCAAAAGTCACAAATCAACAAAGTAATGATCAATGTAATTTTTTTTTCATTCATAATATTAAACTAAACATGATTAAAAAAAATCAAAATTGCAATGCTCAAAGAAACCTAAGCACCAAACAACAAAGATTTTATTTTAGACCTAGTTAAGAATAGAATACCTCCTTTTAATAACCAAATAAGTCGGTTACATGAGAGGATCGTCAACCTTACCAGCGTTGCTTTAGGAGCCTAAAAACATGAAAGTTTAACCCCAACAAAGCTTCTTCTTTAGAGTTGAAGAAATTCCGCAAAAATATGAGAAAAATGTTGAAAGTCAGGTTCTGACGACATTGTACGAACGGCGCATGCGACAGCATGTGAAGACAATGCACAGGGAACTCCTCTGATGCGTGACGGTGCATGTGGTGGCGAACGGAGGTGGGTTTTCTGGTTCTGGCCGGATTTATCCTCTTGAGCACAATAGTGGCATCCATTTTCGAATCTGACGTCGAGAAGTGTGGCTTTAGGCTCTAGCAGTGTGAAACAGAGTATGCTAAGCTTCCTAGTGAGTTTTCTCCAATCTCCGACTGCAGAAACAGCCTAGAAACGTTCAGAGCCTTGCTCTGATACCAAGTTGATACAAAACACACGCTCATATTGATTTGAATAGAGTTGGAAAAGAGAGATACAGCAGAAACAGAGTGGGAGATAGAGAACAAAAAGGGAGAGAAAGACAAAATATAGAGAAGAAGAAATGAGAAGATGAAGGCAAAGCAGTGGAGGGGGAAGAAGATAGACGAAGAGGGGAGTGAGAAAGAGAGAGCTTTTAGATTCTAATATTCATTCGTCATTCAAAGTGTCCAATACAAGTGCCAACTTAGTCTATTTATAGACTAAGCTTTCCTTCCCCTTAAGGAAGCTCAACAACTTGCAAATTAAAAAATACAGAGTAAAAGCAAAAGTAAGTCAGATTTCCTTCCTTAAAAGGAAACTTACAAAATACTAAATAATGCAAAAAACAATTATTTCTTTCTAGAATAATATCTGCCATATTTTCTATCTCAGAGAGAGAGAGAGAGAGAGAGAGAATAAAAAAGAAATTCTAGTGGCACATACCTCTTCAGGAAACCAAATGCCAGGCTGTGTGCTTCCTTCAAGAATTGCAAGCACAAACGCAGCAGTTGAAATTCCTACAGATCTGCAAAGCACACAAACTGCAATTGTCACTACCGTAAAATATAAATTATAAATCCTCATATCCAAGATTCATGAATTACACAAATGAAAGCATTCTAGAACAAAGATATTTAAAAGCCACTAGACAAAATTAGTCATTGTTTGCACACAAGCACACCCATATGAAAAAATGTTATTCTTAGAAGAGATCACATTATGAAGATGCATTATTTCCTTTTGGAAAGACTTCTCCGATTTCTTTTGCTAATGCAAGTGATCCACAAGATACTAGACAGGAGATACAATTAGAGATTTAGAGGTGAAAGCTACTTCTCCTTTAAGTATTGATACTACTCCTTCCTCTACCAGTCATTCTAGAGTTGCTGAATAAAGCCATGACAAAACACATGATAATGTTTTTAGTACCACTCCTATCCCACAACAAGAAGATTACTCTATTTTCTAAGATTGCCCAATGAGATACACTGATGATGAATTGGTTGCTTACAAACTTTCAGCAACAAAAGGGATTCCTAAAGGTAACAATAAGCCTTCTACTTATTTTGATGTTCTTTCTTGTGCTGATTCATCTAAATAGTTAATAGCATTTAATGAAGAAATTTAAAGTCTCCATAGAACAGTACTTAGGATTTGTGTGAAATTCCAAAAGGCAAACAAGCTAAGTCTCTTACAATTGCTAAATTCAAGCATTGCTTGGGCTTAGTCGACATCCACAACACTTGATTGCCTTTCAAAGCTATTTATTTATGATGAGCATTGTAGAATTTGAGTAAAGATTGAGATTGTCAGAGATTGTGCCTCAAATTCCTAAAGCCCACTATGATTTTTTTATTTAAGGTTATACTTGCCACGCAAGTTCTACAATCGCTGTTGTCCAGGCTAAGATTTCTAGTCACAAATTAGCAATTTTTAGCTGTTTTAAAAGCTGGCTTTATTTAGCTTTTTCCATCCGTCATAGATGAGACAATGGATTCATTATAATCTTGAATTTTTATAGTGAAATTTCTTGTTTGTCATTTCACTTGGTATTTTTCTTTACATTGGGGTTTTCCCCCTTAAATCTTTTATGCCATATTCTATTATTTTTTCTCTTGCTTTTCTGTAATTTTCAATTATTTGATCCTTTTTAAATCCACTCAAATTTCCTAAATCCTAGCAAAACAAGACATCTATATGCTTAAATGACTATATTTTGAATTTATGCAAAAGATAATGGACGAAGACATACAACTATAAGAAGAAGACAAGAATGGAACATTGAGCAAGATAAAAAGCATCTATGTTGAAAGATAAACATGTCTTGACTTCATTCAAATGATTTAATCAATAGCTGGAATGTGATAGATACAGTTCATGCTCTACTATGAACTGCCCACTATCACATTAACAAACATACATAAGAAAGAATAGAACCAAGTACTTTTTTATTCCCCATTTTACTTTTGCAAAGACACGTTCTCCAGTCGAATAAAAGGATCAAACAACTGATTGATGTATATTAAATTTGAATTATTTCAGCATTTTAGGTTTAGGATAAATAAAAACAGAACATGAACTCAAGCAATTGTGCAGTAAAGAACTCAAGAAATTGGGCAGTAAAGCAGCCCATGAACACCTCAACTGCTCATGAATGTTCAAATTCATTGAAAGACTACATGAAACAAAGTATAACTCAATTCACGAATTTAGTGTGGATTATTATTATAATATTGTATTTCGCTGTAGTAGACCAAACAATTATAATATTTTTTAAACATGCTTTTCTGCCAAGGACTTCAGAGGAAGTGTAAAAACTGAAGCAGTTTCAAAATTGATGATCAGTTAGAATGCCACCTCTAGGTCATGCTAGAAGTTTCTTCTTTTTAAATGGATTTATTTGTACAAATCTGACGCTCGAATTAATCTTTAACTTGAGGGGGAGTGTTGAGAAATATAGGATACATTTGCAAATTTACTGGGTCTGTTAAGAATCAATGTTTGTGATCAAGAAAGTCATGCAGTTTATAGTTGAAAAGAAGTTTATAGTTATCACTTTACCTTTGAGAGTCTATCTTTTAGCTACACTCTGATTTAGAATACTATAAATATAGGGAAGTACAAGTATAGAGGGGTTTAACTAATGCTACAAAACCACAACGTACAACATTCAGTTAGGCTTCTGCTTTAACTAGTGGACAGAGATGGAAAAGGGAGGCAACATTTAAAGCATTTAAGGAAAAAAAGAGATTTTATTGGAAAGAAAAAGTTGTGCAGACTCTAAAATCAAGTGTATTGTGCATTAGAGTATAGTCTACAAAGAAGCTAGTCCAAGCAAAGTCAAGAGCATACGTCAGGAAGGAGTCTTGTCATAGCTTCCATTCCCCAATTCCAAAAAAATGGTGCAGTTCCAAATCGAGCACTTACAGTCGGCACACCCAAGATCTCATGAGCACTTCTAACCTCTGGCAAATTCCTGAAAGTCATATATTTGGAAGGAACTGTCGCTATTAGAAATGAAGAATCCTGATTTCTGTTTTTTTTTTTTCCCCTTTAAAAAGAAAGACAATAACCCATGTTTAATCAACTAGTAGTATGATATATATCAGATATGACAAAAGACAGGCCCAATTCCTTAAGTGAAAGTTTGATTAAGAAGCAAGGATATGAACTTCACAGAATGGATATTAACATGAATGAAACAAACAGATTCATTGAAAGAAAGCAGCATGCTCCAACTTTAATTCTTTCTTCATCTTGAAGTACTTACAATAGATAAACATCTCTTTTGCCAATCCCTTTCCCAAAGTCGACATTGAGCATTCCACTGTAAGGCTTTAGTTTCACCTTTTCTCCTAGTTTAAATAGTACACCATCATCATTCAATCCTACATACTAAATGGTAATTTAATCTAGATAAAGTAAATGCATTGTACAAACTCTAGACAAGAACCTTTGCTATATGCAACCACTTCTTCTCCCAATAGTAAGAAACTAGTAGCCAATATGGTTGGACCTGCTCCACCACTTCCCGCTGTGTAGTAGTTGAACCTGAGATGATCATACAGTATATAAGTTGCTACGTCAACAAACAATATATATATATATATAAGTAGAATTCTTGTGAGCTCATCTTGAAGAGATTGATTCCTCTTGTCATTTCTTTGGACACTTCACTAATCTTTCTTTTTGCTGTTACGCTAAAAGCTTATTTTTGTCACAGTGGACAGCAATAAAAGAAAAGAAATATATGAATGCATATATCACAATGGAAATCAGAGGAAACTCAACCAACTTATAGAGACCAACTTATCCTATAAGTTGGTTCAAGTCAACAATGAAGAACTTAAAGGGAAGGACTTGATACGTGGTATGATAGATTCCCAAGTATCTTAGGTCTGTGGGTAATAATTATTCATACAACAAGCCTTATCCCACTATGTAGGGTCGGCTACATAGATTGCACAGTACCATTGTGCTCTATCAACAACCAAATCTATGATGAGAATATTGTTAACCAAAAGATCCCTTTCAATATCATTTAGTGTTAATTATTCATAAATTTAGTAATTCAAGATACTAAGTTTGAAATGGCAAGAAGTCTACTAAGAATTCAGTCCTTGGATATTATTATCAACTGTTGCACTCGTAATCATAGACAATTTTACACCATTCGTTATTGTGAAAGACAAGATATCATATAAATAAAAAATTACTATTTCAAAGTCAAACATGAAGCAAGCCTTACCAGACCCGCCCAGCCATCATATAAATAAAAAATATGCAATATATTTGGAAATCCTGCATATTTGCATTATGAAAATAGTTCTTTTTTTTTTAAACCCTAATATGATAAATAGTTCTTGACTGAATTAAGATGGTGGGCCAGGCAAAAAATACAGTGTAAAAGTTAGAAGCATGTCAGTGTATATAATTGGACTGGAAGGAAATGTAGAAACTATATGAACTTTTGGGCTTCCGTTAATTTTTCTTGTTCATTAAAAACTTATTTAATTACAATATGTCCCATATTGTTTTATATCACAAGCTAGACAACCTTTACACCGTTAAAAATTTATGCAACATAAATCTCCCTTTATTAAGGCTCTTTACAATGTTCTCTATATCTTATTCATTACATAATATCAAAGCATGGTGGGGGGAAATAGTGAGCCTCCAGTAGTCGCATAGTTAGGCTGGAGCTTTGCATACTTCTCTAGGAACCCTTCTTGGCTTCTACAATGGATGTCCAGTGCCATTGATAAGATTCCATTGAAGACTTATTCGAGAAAGAAGCGACAGAAGATAAATTAAATATTATTTGATTTAAATTTGATTTTATTTCATTGTTATTTAATATTTGAATATTATTTAGATTAAGTTTTAGGAGACTTTGTTTAGATATTTAGTTCTTTAGATCTTATTCAGATTTCATTTAGATTAAGATTCTTATTTAGTTTTTATTATCAAGTTATCTAGATTTCATTTGTAAATAAAAAAGAATAAGTCTTTAGATCTTATTTGGGCTCTATAAATATGACTAGTAACTTAAAAGCAAGCATATCATTATCAATAAAAAAGAATCTTATACCCTTTAGAGATTCTCCTTAGCATGGCTATTAGAACGAGATTCATATTGTATATCATCTTGATAAATTTTTTTTCTCTTATTTTCTCTTGTTATTTCGTTCTTATCAAATTGGCATCAAAGCTATGGTTACCACACGTACTAGTCAAGAAACTAACCCACCCGACAACTCATCCAACAATCCCCTAGAAACCATAACCGGCGTACGCATGACCCTCTATCCTTTATCACTTCAAAACTTGAGAAGCTTGACTTATCACAAGAAAAAGCAAAGGCCCTACAAGCCTCTGCAGCACACAAAAAACAGAAGAACCCAAAAAGGCCAATGTCAAAGAACTCACTAGGATGAAGAAAGTGACGAAGAGATAGATTATTACAACAAATATGGTCCTCGTCCGCCTCAACCCAAGATTGAATTTCCCAAATTCAATGGAGGAGACCCTCGTGGATGAATCTTTAAGGCTAAAAAATGCTTTTGGTACTACAATACACCAAAAGAATTGAAGGTGGATATAGCTTTTGTGTCTCTAGAGCGAGGTGCTTTAGACCTATTCTCATGGCTAAATTGAGAATGTACCTTGATGTATTAGGAAGAATCAGTGAAGGCTTTGCAAGAGAACTATTTGATGATATCTTAGCATATAGTTCCTCTTTCCAATAGCATCAGAACCACTTGCACATAGTTCTAAGGGCCTTACAAGACATGTTTTGTGTTACTTTGGAAAAATGCTTCATTGGGAGGCTAAGAGTTCCCTTTTTGGGGCATCAAATTTCTACCCGAGGAGGTGAAGTTGAGGTTGAGAAGGTGGAGATAGTACGCAAATGGCCTGTTCCTAAAAAGTAAAGGAGCTACATGGTTTCCTGAGCCTTGTAGGGTACTATCAACATTTCATAAAAAAATTTGGGATCATTGCATGCCCACTTACTAAATTGACTAAGAAGGATACCTTTTTATGGTCTAAACAAATCATAAGGCCTTTAATCACTTTAAACTCGCATTGATGATGGCCCTAGTCTTACAATTGCCCAATTTTAAGGAGGAATTTACAATTGAATGTGATGCATTGACAGAAGGGATTGGAACTATCCTTATGTAAAACAATCATGCCATTGATTACTTCAGTGAAGGTTTCTCTGACTCTAACTGTGGGAATATTACGTTATTATTGTCAATAATTAGCAGTTATTAGTATCATTCATTACGCTTTATTATTATTTATTAGGTTTTATCTCTCTTAATGTATATATAGGACCTGTTTGTAAATCAAAATATGAATAAGACATATTATTCTCTCCAAAAATCCACATGGTATCAAAGCCATGCCAGAAAAATTTAGAAAATAATTTTGTAAGGTTTCGTGTTATGGATCGCATATTGCATCCTGTACAATACCATGGGGTCTTCATACGAGTACTGTTGGAAGCTTTGTTGACCTTCGCTGCCAGCCTCATAAGGAAGAGGAGGCTCCGATCAGCCAAACCTAGAAATGCCACGGCCAACTGTGGCGCGTGTGACCCATCAGTGTTCAGCGCCAGAGACGCTTCACCGGTGCATAAGGGAGCATGCGTGGTTCAATACGGCTCCAATGACTTCCTCCAGCGTCGACTTGAAGATTCCGGCCAGATCCCAGTATGTCTTCCATCTAGGCAACCTTTGCTCATGGACTCATACTTTATCCCTTGATGTTCTACACTGCTACTCTATTTTAATGGGTTTGTGGTGTCTAATTTGTCTCGGGTATGGGAGTCGATTTATGTCTAACATTATAAGAGTAATAATATTCCGATGTCCCATATCAAAACTTGCCAAAACTACACCTGTTGCATCAGTAGTGAAAAAGGGTTCCTTCCTTCAAGCTTTAGCAACATCACACAATAAAACAGTCTGGATTATTGACCCTGGAGCCTCCGACCACATAACTAATTGCCATGAGTTGTTTACCACATATGCCCCATGTACTAGGAATATTAAAGTCAAGATTGTAAAGCTGATTAGCACCTGTAGCGGGAAAAGGGAATATTTGGATTTTAGATTCTATAGTGTTGGAATTTGTACTTCATATGCCTAAGCTTGATTGCAATTTACTCTCAATTAGCCAATTGACCAAGCAATCAAATTGTTATGCTAAATTTCTCCCATCTCATTGTGTTGTAAAGCTGAGCACCTGTAGCCTATCTTCATATGCCTAAGCTTGATTGGCCAACCAAGCAATCAAATTGTTAAAATTTCTCCCATCTCATTGTGCTAATTTGGGGCAACAATCGAAAGTGCTAAAGAGTATGAAGGGCTTTACTATTTCAAAGTCTCCACCCAAGTAGGTAACTCCTCGATTGTTGGTAATTCTGCATCTTCCTTTAAAGTTAATGATTTTATGTTGTGGCATAAGAGGATGAGTCATCTTAATTTTCATTATTTTCAACAATTGTTCCCAACTTTATGTCCTAACTTGAATATTAATGATATTCATTATGAAGTGTGTGAGCTTACCAAACATCACAAAACGTCCTTTCCCTGAACAAAATACACACCTACCAAATCTTTCACAACCATTCACAATGAGTTGTGGGGACCATCTCGTACACCCAATCATACTAAAGCGACATGGTTCATTTCCTTTATTGATGACCACACTCGCGTCTGTTGGTTTTACCTTTTACGAAACAAATTTGAGGCTGCATCCATGTTCATAAATTTCTTCGACATGATCAAAACCCAGTTTAATACCACCATCCAAGTTTTACACACCAACGATGGCACTGAGTACTTTAAACAATCTTTAAGTACCTTTCTCCAATTGCACAATATCATGCATACCAATTCTTGTGCACATACGCCCTAGCAAAATGGGGTCGCAAAAAGAAAAAATCGCCATATTCTTGACGTTGCTAGAGTACTTATGTTGACCTGCAATGCGCCTACTGCAACCTACCTTGTCAACCGCATGCCCAGTCAAGTCTTATCTTTTGAAACCCCTCTCCACAAGTTGCAAAGTATTTTCTTCATATCCCATATTGAAACCAATCTTTCGTTTCATGTGTTTGGTTGCACAGCATTTGTCCATAACTACCAAAGCACCAAACTTGAACCTCGAGCCACTAAGTACATATTCTTTAGCTATTCTCCTACCCAAAAAAGATACAAATGTTTTGACCCTATAACAAAACACATGTTTCTTAGTCATAATGTCACCTTTCATGAAGCTACTCCATTCTATCCCAATTCTTCAATTCAGGAGGAGAACATAGGTGAATCTCAGACCTGGGAACCAAAACTGAACATAGAATATGTATTTCTTGAGCCATTACCTCCTATAACAGAACCATCACCCTCACCAACACCGACCTCTTCTCCTATGTCAAAATTTGAGGAAAACAATAAAACAGAGGGAGATGCAGAAAGACCACAAAAGGGAGAGTTATTGGTTTACACAAATCCAAAGATAGTGAGCAACTTATACATGAG